CTTCAAATTATGTGGATAGCGCTCGTCAAACAGGAGAAGTCAACTATCGAAAAAATTTTATTACACCTTACTACCCCCCCCCCCCTTCCCTTGAGCGACCAAACACGACCCTCTCGCCACCGCTGGGGAATCCCTAACGAAGAACGTGCCCTGACTGAATATTATGAAACTAACCTGAGTGGTGGCATGATGAGGTGGATTAGCTTGGTCAGTAGCGCGTATGGCGAGATTTACCGAGGTGCCAACTGAAAGCATCAACAATTTTATTATGTCGTTGTGAGAGCAACCAACTAATCTGCTAACAATTTTCCAAAAATTCAGAATTCTAGAAAACATTAAGAGATTCTGAACTCCCAGAATGAACCCTTAAGTCACGTCAAAAATTAATACCAAGTGAGTCCAGCGACTTCACGATTGACAATGTGCCGTGACGAGGATGTAGTCGGAATGATTGGGTCATTGGATCATCCCCCATTATTGTGTATTCCACGGTGTCATCAACGTCATCGTCGGTTGCCAACACCATCAGAACGGTTTCTCCTTCACGAGCTGTCGCCGATACAGATGTTGTGTACCTAAAAGACGATCCTATTGTATTCCAGTCCCCGAAGAGGTAACACAGCAGCGCAACCAAATAGCTTAACACGTTCCGGACCGCGTGACACACATGGTGTGTCATACTTTTTTCTCACTGCGCCGCTTCATACGGTCTATTTAACATCTTATTGATGCTTCGAAGTTATCAGAACACGTTTTTAGGCACAGAATACAAATATCTCAGAAAAGTGAAACAGATGAAATTGCTGATTATCGGTTTGAAAAGTAACGAAAGTATGCGGAGATCGTCGCACAACGGCGGTCCGGAGTGTGTTAAATACCATAAGCGAACTTTGCACAGCATCATGAAAACGGGAAGGTGCAGACCGATCAGCGCGAAGTATGGATGAGCTAGACGGGGTTCATACTTTGCAAATGTGAACAATCCGCAATACAGAAGATCGATAAAGGAA